ACAGCCTTTCGAATGAAGGCGTTTTCCGAAAGTTGTCAGAATTTTTTCGAAAGGCTGCTCGTCGAAAGAAACCCCCCCCCCTCGCCACACAGACTTTCGAAACACAGAGGCCTTTCTATATGCAGATTTGGGCCTTATTCCACTGCTCTCTACAAATGTGTGAATCTTTGCCTACGAGGCTCGCCACACAGGCTGTCGAAACTCAAAAAGTTTCGACAGGTGTCAGAAAAAAATTCGAAAGTCGGTCGTCGACAGTTTACCCTCCCTTCGCCACACAGGCTGTCGAGGGGCAAGGTTTTTGGTCATGGCCAGGCGGACGGGTTTCACGGAAGTTGACGAAACAGTCCCTGACAACGCAAATGCGAACGCAATTTTCGAAAGGTCGGCCGGGCACTGTCGAAATTCCGTCACCTGCAGGCGGAGCGAAACGGTTGCTGGAGGGCGGCTGTCGATAGGACCATTCTGACACCTGTGGAAAGTTTTTTGAGCAGCAATTCTTCGGAAGTCTGTGTGGCGATGCAAAATTGTCGAAAACCGGGTTTTCGACAGCCTGTGTGGCAAGCCTCTAAGACATGAAAAGATAAACCGCCATAATTTTTGTCTTTTGTGCATGTCCAGAGTATTGGAGCCTGGCCCTTGGAATCGGGCCCTTTTTTTTTTTCGGTTTGCCAATAGACGGTTTCGTGTGGTCCTTTTCACAAGACCACTTGTGGTCTTTCGAGGACAAGTTCGTGACAGGCGGGAGGATTTCATCTCTTCGAAAGGACTTTCGACGCCGACCAATCTGACACCTTTCTAAACTTTCTCGAAAGAACTTGTTTGTGTCGTGAAGATACTAAGGGCCTCGTTCCACTACTCGCCATCCGCCACGCATGGCGGACGCGACTTGGTTCCACTGCATAGCCAATAGCCACGAAATGGAGGCTGTCAGAATTTGGGTGTGAAATCACTTGGCGATGTGCCACCAAGGCTTTCCCCTGCCTGCAACGGCCCTTCGTGGAGGCTCTACTCCTCACCCCTCTGCGAAATGCTTCGTGTGGCCATTGCCCCTGACACAGCCATCCTGACATTCAACCTGCGTTGTCCCCTAGTGTTGGCAAGTTTTAGCTGCACCTGGAGTGATTTCCAGTCCGAGTACATGGTGAAGAGAAGGCCGCCGCCGTTCCATTAGCTCTCCATCCGCCACAGTCCGCGGAGCAGGCCGGTACAGCAACCACAGCGCACGTGGCGGCGGCGATGTAATGGAACCAAGACCCTTTTTCGGCCAGAAAAATGCAGTTTTCGGCCTCGCCAAGTCTCTCCACTGTTTGTGGCGGATGGCGAGTAGTGGAAGGAGGCCCGAAGTAGATTTTGCGCGTTTCGAAAGCCTGTGTGGACAGGCCCGTAGTGCCCTGAGAGAGGTCAATTGACAAACCGGGGCCCTTTTGCCTTGGCCGCACTACACCCGCGCCACACCTGCAACTGTAGAGCGGCTGCAGTGTACTGGTGTGGAACAAGGCCCAAAGAGACAACTGCTGTGATCTGTACTGGAGGCCGGAGGGCCACATCCCCCAGACACACGCAGACACACGCACACACACACGCACGCACACACGTGCACGGGCGATGATGCCAGGAAGACGTGACGTGCCAAGAAGACGGCGACGTGCGATGACGCCAAGAAGACGGGGACGTGCGATGGTGACGAGGTCCACAAACGAGGAGGACAGGGAAGGGCGACGAGGAGCAAGGTGGAGGAGAGAGGGAGGAGGGAAGAGGAGGGAAGAGGAGGCAAGAGGAGGCAAGAGGAGTAGAGAGGACAAGGACTCTGACGATCAGGGATGAGGATAGAGGATGGAGGCTGGACGAGAAGAGAGGAGGGCGACGAGCATGGATGGAGGAGGAGGGAGGAGGGGGACGGGCATGGATGGAGGAGGAGGGAGGAGGGAGAGAGAACATGGATGGAGGAGGAGGAAGGAAGTTGAGGCTGCATGCCTGACTCACTTGCGTACGATTCTTTCGCATTTTACTAAAGAATACCGTGGTTGAGCACATGCAAGCACCTTGTCCCAAGTTTTTCACCTCGCCATTTACTCGCTGAGAGGCCTCCTGAAAAAAGGAAGAGGAGGGAGGCTCCTTAAACTACCAGTACTTGGCCCAGTTATCAGCCGTTGGAAAAAAAATAGAGTAGAAACGTTTCTGCTCAGATGAATTTGGGCTCTCCTGTAGTGACCCGTACATTTCCTAAAATCATGGCTTGTTAACGGGCACTACTTCAGGAAGTACTGATGGTTTGAGGTAAGCGCGCGCGCGCGCGCGCGCACACATACACACACACACACACACACACACACACACACACGCGCGCGCGCGCGCGGGCGACAAAGGAGTCTGGCGCAGTTGTGCTGTTTGTATTTTCCTCTTTTTGGTGAAGTTGTGTGGGCGACAGCGCAAGACGATGGTGACGTCGAGGAGGTCGACCATGGAGTGGAGGAGGAGGCACGACGAGGAGCCAAGAGGTGGAGGACGGAGGAGGACGAGGGAAGAGGAGGGAGGAGGAGGGAGGACAAGACGATGACGATGATGTTGACGGTGAGGAGGTCGACCATGGAGGAGGAGGAGGAGGAGGAGGAGGCACGACGAGGAGCAAAGGTGGAGGAGGGAGGAGGATGAGGGAAGAGGAGGGAAGAGGAGGGACGAGGAGTAGGGAGGAAAATGACGATGGCGATGACGGACGAGGATAGAGGATGGAGGCTTGAGGACGACGGAGGAGCGCGACGAGCATGGATGGAGGAGGAGGGAGGGTCAAGAGCATGGATGGAGCAGGAGGGAGGAGGGGGACGAGCATGGTTGGAGGGGGAGGGAGGCTCCGTCAGGTAAGAATGACACACACACAGACACACACACACAAAATAAAAAAATTAATAAGAACACCCCGAAACAGCCTCGCGCAGTCGGTCTTTTTTTTCTTTGTTTTTGCTGACGTTGTGCATAGCCAACATGAGAGCACAACAGACACCCCACACACACTAGCACACCTGAAGCGTCAGTGGAAGTCCGACAAAACAGCCTAGCACGGCCATACTTTATTTTGCGGAGTTGTGTATAGCGAACATTACAACACACACAAACCCACACACATGCGTGTGCGAGCCACGGCACGAGGAAAAGACGGCCGACGGAGTCATGGTGCCTTTCGAAAAAATCAGTTTCACGTCCCGCACCCGCCCTTTTATTCCCCCTCTTTTTATCCAAAATAAATTCGGTTCACGTACCTATCAACAGTGTTGCAATAGGGGGCGGGGCTGGAACATGCGAGCGATAGTCCGCGAGGCAGATGATTGAGGGTGGACGAGCATAGCCGACATCTCCAACAGACGGAGGTAGACGGACAGGGCGTAGAGATGAGATGCTATTAGATGAGGTGCGTGTGTGTGTGTGTTTGTGTGTGTGTGTGTGAGAGAGAGAGAGAGAGAGAGAGAGAGAGAGAGAGAGAGAGAGAGAGAG